CCTTCCAAGTTCGAAGGGCTTTCAGGATGTAACTCATCCCCCTCCCAGGGCGCACCGGCATGTCTGTTTGGGCCCGGGTATGGCCGCGTTGGCCGCCCTCACCCCCTTGCCCCTTTAGAGCGGCAGAAGAGGGAAGGAGGCTGGCAGCAAGAGCCGGGCGCAGAAACAGTCTTCCGGGCACCAGGCGAGGCGCCCGAGCCAGTCGGTGCGGGCAGGACCCCTGGTCATCGGCTGTAAATGTGACCCCTGGGACTGGCAGTCGAGGTTGCCACAAACTAGCGGCGTGGCTTTCAGTCGTTTTTACCGCCATAGCATAGTGTTTGGAACTTGGGGGCATTTTACCCTCTCCCTTGCTCTTCACCCTCCTGTCTTCAGTGTGGGCAGTGGGTCGTGCTCTCTGTCCTTGGTTAAGAAAATGCAATCTTAATACTTGAGGGAAAGTACTGGCATTTGCCTTCTGCCGCTGGCCTCCCTGTTGCTGTGACTGGGTGTGCTTTTGATGAATGGTGAGGGAGGGTGGAGGATAGTTACATTTCCTGTTGTGGATTTTCAGGAATCACCAAGGTTGCCATCAAGCCTGCATTCATTTATTAGTTTTCAGACCGACTGCACTGGAACGTTGCAACTTAGCAGCCTGCGCTTTTTTGGTGCTTAAGGGCAGGTGCAGACAGGGGTCTGGTGCCATACTGAAGGACAGCAAGGTGGATGATCTTGACCTTAGGCTGATGCACGCTTCTTACCACAACCTGCAGGGCGACCCCTGTTTAACTTCATGCACAAATATTCAGGATTTTCTAGTCCTCCCTCCAGCCCCCATCATTCCTTTAATGATTCCCCATCAAACCTAACAAAAACCGTGTATTTTCTAAGGAAACTTCAGCAGATGGGATATTTACAACTTAACCTGGCATTTTTAAGGGGTAACCTTGGAACATCTATTGATTGATGGGGCGAAGTCCAGAATTTCACTGTAATTAGTGAATGATTATAATTTATAACTTAGCCTGTTGTGTAAGAAGTTAGATTTTGGTCTCTTAGATCCAAGAGTTCTTGTCTGTTATGCTTTATAACTGCTTCTTAATATTAAACATTTACATATTTCATTCTCAATGAGTTGGGTTTTTTCTTTTGACCTTCAAAAGTTAGAGATAATTTTGCATATTTCAGACTTCCTTACCTGTGAAAATGTTACCATAATGAAAAGTGTTTGTAGTTAAATTGGAAGCCAGTTATGGCAAACAAAAGTCCTGACGGCTCAGTAAGCCATAACCCAACTTTCCTCTGCTTTCCCAAGTACTTTATTAGGCAAATATTCAGTATACCAAACTACTTAGAGATTTTTAAACTTAGTAGTGGAAAATTTGAAACTTTGGATGTTTAACATTCAATGCATATCGATTTTCTCATGTTTCCAAAGACACTGTACTTTTATTCTTGGAATTATAGCATATAAGCTTCATTGTTTTTAGAGCATTTTCACACAATTTCCTTTTGATAGAGAACAAACCACTGAATTCTAAATGGGGTATCTGGGACATGGTTTGGTTATGTGCTTCAGACCAAAAAAGGCTTAAGACAGATAAGGGACATTATTCATTTAATAACTATTCTTAGAACATTCACCATGTCCCAGACACAGTGCTAGGCCCTGTGGGTCAGCTGGGGACAGGAAGACAATTTCCTTACCCCCAAGGGAAATTGTATTCTACTTGGTGAGCTGACAATACCCGACTGAAAAATAAAAATAGTAATTATCTTTTAGGGTGAGGTCTATGGAAGGTGCTAATAATACTTAACTGTATATCTAATAGGGTTGCTTTGGAGAACAAATGAGATACTGTTATGAAAGAATGTTGCATAAATTACAGCAGTCTACAAGTGTGTAAGGCATTCACTTTGAGAATTCTGTCAGATTACTCTTAACTTGAAAAGCCAGGGAATCATGACTGTGGATTAAACACTGACTTTCTCATATAGAATTTTCAGCAAGAAGGGATTTTACTTGTTCTGAGTATA